GAATATTATTAGACTAGGAATCTGAATTTTCAATATTGAAACAGGTTGATTGACGATCGTTTCCGAGCATACTATAATTTATCGAGCTACGTCAAAGAAACCGGAAGAGATCATCCTTGACTAATATTATGGGATATAAGTACGCATAAATAATATAAATGGGCGAAAATGTCCTATATAAACAATTTCCTATGGCATGTTAACCAACAACAGTATTATAGAACTCAAATTGAGGTTACCTTTATCCTTCCGAAGAAGCCGTATTTGTCATAGCATTAAACAATTTTGTAAAATAAAACAAATGAATATATATCATTTATTTAGACATACGTGTAAGGAAAATGGATAACTTAATTGTTCCTAAACAAACTTACGATACTGATGAAATAATTTCTAAAAAATAATAGGACCACAATGATTAAAAAGAGTCGGCCTGGGCAGCTACCAAAGTGCAGTAACACAAGCCGCATCACCATTAATATTAATATCGATAACTTGTTGATTGTAATTTTATATTGTATGTTGCGTCTCATGTAACTGCACTTTGCATTTGGATAACGTGTACAAGATTTATACAGCAGACAAAATTTGTTTATGTTAGTGGTTAGGGTAGGGTCAGAGTTAGAGGTAGAAGTGTAAAATATATATACTAAAATCTCACAAGGAAAAATTTTTGTTAGAACACTAAATGTGGTGTCTTATACGAATTTTTGAGAAATAACCGATTTTTTACAAAACGACTTTATTTTGAATCTTCCTGATTGTTTTACAATCTTAGTAATGATTACACGTATGTACTGTATTAATTTATTGTCTCAGGGATAATATAATGCATCAGTAATATCCACATAACCACCACTGAAATCACTACGAAGCGTTGATTAAATTAAATATAAAAACTACTTATATAGTAAGTTAACCCGATTTTAGTAATTCCAAAGCAATATAACAAACTGTATAAATTGTAATTTAGGTAACAGTCTCGAAAAAATGATATATTTAGAAAACATTATAACGTAATTTATTGTTTGTAAAAAGTGTTTTTATTTATTAAATGATTATGCCTTTGTTCTTTTGGCTAACGGCATTGATAACTCATTAGCCGAGAGATAATGCATATTTTTAGATGCACTTGAATTATTATTCGATGCTTCGAAACTATCATCAGGATAATCTGATTCATCGGATTCGTTAGGTGAATCCGAATCATCAAAATTATCCTCTGATAATTTCAAAACAGTAATCTCTCTTTTGATATCAAAAATTCTTTTGCCAGTTTCTTTGACACCTAGCTAATTTAAACTAAATTAGTCAACAACCATTAATACACACATACACATATACATAAAAAAAAAAT